AATTGTAATGCCCAAAAGTCAGAAAATGCACCTATGGTGTGACCTTGGCAGAAGAATTTTCCAATTGCAATTCTTTTTTTCTTTTTTTCTGATTTCCTCTCGTCTCCCAAACAGAATGGGAACTGGGAGCCAGGAAGAGCTGGATAAAGCCAGATGATGTCTGGGCTACAGCTTCAGAGGGTATAAGGTCACCCTCTGAAGGGTGGGCTCACCCCAGCTCCTCAGAGGATAGCTCCTAGCCATAGAGCAGGAACCTAACCTTGGACTTGCCGAAATGAACAGCACCTCAGCTTGGGCCATAATGGAACTGGATCACTGTCTCATAACTCTCTTGCCTTTAATTTGTATTGCAAGTATACTTTATAGAAAGGACTCCCAGCATGTCACTTGCTCTTCAGTTCAAGTCTGTGAAGTAGCCTCAGAACAGGATGGCATTTGCATTTTATGAAAGAGGAAGCAGAGCCCAGGAGATAAGCTAGTGGCTCTCCCTGGGCCAGAGGGAAGCTCCAGCCCCGTTTCTGACTCCTAGGCCTAAGGACCCTGCTGCCCCTCCTGGAGTGGGCAAAGAATAGAGCACTCACCCACCCAGAAATGTTTTTCCCTTGTTAGGGCTTGAGTTTCCTCTGAAGAATTTATTGAATGACCATATTATGATGTTAATGCTTCTTTCTTATCTGGGGCTATAAATGTAACCAGCCTGAGGTCATGTTGATGCAGGAAGCTGAGGTCTGAATTGGATGACATTTGACTGTTTGTGTTCAAGTTCACACTTTTTTCTTAAGGATCAAAGAATAAGCAGTCTGGGTAACCTTAGAAATGTCACAGAGATAAAAGTAAGATTATGTAATGCTGTAAGGATTGTTGAAGCCAGACTAAGATTTCACTGGAGGCGTCACTCCATGCTTGGCCTCTAGAAGGCCGGCCCACTGAGCAAGATGGACTCGTCCTTCAGTTTGGTGGCAGAGTTTGGTAAGGAAAGCATTTTTTAAATGATGAATTCGTATGCATTTATTTGGAAATATGCCAGACACTAGGCTAGGTTAGGGTTGCAGCCCTGAGCATGATACATAAAGTCCTTGACCTCAGTTCTAGTTGGACTCTGATCAGAAGAGACTGATTTTATGCACCTAATTCATTGTGGAGAAACCACTAATCCTTTTTCAATTCTACTAGTTTGCTTCTTCTAGAAGCCTAAGCCTTATCCAAAAATGCCTTATGTGTATCATTACCTTTTTGTTGACAAAGTACTCTATTATATCAAGTTGCTACTTGATTGTCACAACCACCGTGGGGGGGTGAAGGGATCCTCACCGCATTTCACGGATGAGGAAGTTAAGATTTCAGAGATTTAGATGCAGTGACGCTGCTTCCTGATTTGCCCAGGCTAGCATCCCATTTCACTCTCACAGGTGCCCTGTTTGGGATGAAAATTACACTGTGACCTACATTTAAAGGACTTGTTTAGTAAGTGGGGATCTCAGGCCTTGAATTCAGATCTTTGATATCAAATTGGTTTCTCTTTCTACTACAACAGAACAATGTGACACTTGATTTAGACCAAGTTTAATTGAGCAACACAATGGAAGATGAATTTCACATATCCTCATCTCTGTTCCAAATCAAAACTTGACTGTGGAGAGAGTTGGGGCTGGTACAGTAGTTAATAAAGTCAAATGGCTTGGCTTCTGGGACAGAGACCTTTGGGGGTCCTAAGGGCCCCGTGCTGACTATTGAGTGCTAATAGTCTGCTTGATTTGTGGTTTTGCGGAGGCTTGGGTTTGAGTGGGATGAGCTGCTTAGCTAGAGATCTGGACCGTGTCCTGAGTTGAAGCCTTACAATTCTCTGCTAGTCATCACCTACACATTCTGGGCAGATTGCATGCTGGAATGGCCTTCAACTTGGGGGCGTATGTGGCAGACATCTCTTTAATATGGAATGTTTCTAACAGTTGGAGACCAATTTGCTGTGCTTATTGGAGTCTGATAGCCTTTGAGAGATTATCCAGCCTAGGATGAACAGTAGTTGGCATTCCAGCCTTACCACACTGTCAGCTCCGACAGCAGAGCATGGTGGGGAGAAACCTCCAGCGTCCACCACCACGAGGTAGCTGTGTGGCTTGTGGAGGGCCTGGGCCCAGTCTTTTGGTGAGACTCCCAGGGAGGTGTAGTGTGATGGCCAGGCAGCTGGCCTGGGGCTCCTCAGGATGCACAAGTCAGTCCACTCCGGATGGAAGCCTGCAGAGAGCGGGGCTCGTTGGTGGAAGGCCCGGCACAGCCAGGCTGTAGCCGTAGTACCCAGCACAGTGCCGATGTGGTACTGAGTCGCATAAACAAGTGTTAAGCCCACCTCTGTGGCTGATTACCTGAACTGCCTTGGATGAGTGACTTTAAAGTAGGAACGGTGACGGCCTCCATCTCAAGAGATGAGGTGATAATGCGAGTGTACTATATGGATCTATGCAGGTAGAGCTGTGAAAAATGAGGACTTGCCTATACTGCTACTTTCTAGCAATGCCCAGAACTTGTTAATGTCTAAAATGTGTAGGGAACGCCTGGGTGGCTCAGTCGGGTAAGCATCTGCCTTCAGCTCGGGTCATGATCCCAGGGTCCTGGGATTGAGCCCCACGTCGGGCTCCCCACTCAGCAGGGGGTCCGCTTCTCCCT